TTGGAATTATTCCTTGGCCGCCACTGACAGGGCTGAGGACACTATGGACGCTGCAGTGCCCGCTAGAAAGGCTGTAGAAGGGAAGATGAGACGTCAGAGCAGACCGGGAACTGACTGCTGCCACGAGGAGGGGCGGCTAGGAGAGTCTCAGGGAGACGCCTAAAGGACCAGGACTCACGTGCAGATCATAAGGAAACAACTTGAACTCAAAGAATGCTGGGAAAACAAGCTTCTGTGAAATCACAGAAATATCTCAAAGTTCTTGCTATCATTTCCATCTTGAATGTCTCCCAGAAAGCCCCGGGGCAGGGTGGGGGGAGAGTGCTGCTGGGAATTCATGGACCCATGGAAGATCTTACATCACTGGGGGTGTGCCTTTGCAGAATTGAGACCTTGGTTCCTTCCTCTCTTTTGCCTCCTGGCTACTAAGGGAGTGGGTTTGCTGTACTAAGAGATCTGGCCACCACGAGCTGCCTTGCCAGAGGCCCAAACAACAGAGAGAAATGATCTCAGACAGGAACCTCCGAGACGGTAAGCCGAAACAAAACCTTTATCTTTTTAGCTGCCTCAGGCATTTCGTCATGATAGCTAAGCTAGAGCCGCCCAGCCTGGAAGCGGGAGCCGGAGGCCATGGCTGGTTACCTGTTTCACACGTAGTCTGGGAATGTGGGCCCTGCTGGGTGGCAAAAACTACGGCAAATGTTTAGGTAAAATTCTGCCTCCTATAAAACCACATTCTTCGTTGCCACAGAGCAGTTTAAGCATTGGAGAAAAGACATCTTGAGTTACTATGCTTAAAACCGTGCGGCTCCGGCGATGGCTCCGTGTTTAAGAGTGCCAGCTGCTCTCCAAGATCATCTGGGTTCAATTCCCTTCACCCACATGGTGGTTCACGACTGACTGCAACCCCATTCCCAGGGGATCCATGCCCTCTTCTGCCCTCAGGCACCAGCCGCAGGGCAAAACACTAGACACATGCAAATTAAACAAGTAAATAATTTCCTTAAAGCTGTGTGGTCATTCAAGTGAAATGCCTGGGGTGGGGAACAATGTTAGTCCTTGCAAAACTGGGATCTACCCTTAGTGAATTGAGAACAAGGAATATTTGCTAGTTGTCTCTGGGAAGGGATAGGAAGGGCAAGCTCTTGAGGAACATTTCTTTACAGTCTCAAAACTAATGGGGGTGGGGGATGGTCAGTGGTTAAGAGCACTGGGTGCTCTTAACCAAGGTTCGATTCCTGATACTTATGTGACAGTTCACAACTATCCTTGATTCTAGCCCCAGGGAATCCTATGCCCTCTTCTGGCCTCTAAGGGCACTGCATGCCCATGGCTCACAGACACAGATGCAGGCAAAACACCCAACACACAAAATTTTTGAATACAGCAATTGAAGTTTTTAACATGAATTTCTATACACAACTATTAACATTTTGCAAAAGAACATGTTGTCAATACAGAATGGAGCACATCCGCATTTATAAGTTGTTAATGACAAAGTCGCATCAAAAATATACAATAGGGGCTAGAGAGAAGGTCCGGCCGCTAAGAGCACCTGCTTGCTGTTCCTGTACAGGACTGGGATCCGATTCCCAGCTCCCACATTGGATGGCTCACAACTGCCTGGGACTCCAGCTCCAGGGAATCCACTGTCCCCTTTTACCCTTCTCAGACACCTGCACGTACATGCGCATACACACACAGGTACACACAAATATCCATAGGACTTAAAAGGCAAATATTTAAATTATATATTAGTAAAAGAACAAGGATAACAAGGGTAAAACATCATACATTTAAGCCGTTTGGGAGGAGTTGATATAAAATATAGACAATCAACTGGTTCCTATGCAGAATAGTAGGCGGAGCTGCTCTTTGGGGAACAATGAATAGGAGAAGCCAGAAGTCTCCAGGAGGCTATGAGATTGTGGGTATTGAAGATAAAAAGAACTAAGACATTACTCCCTTTATATAGTTCTGACCTATACTTTTCCTTTTGTAATTTAAATTGTAAGGCTGTTACAGGAAAAATAACTTGCACAGTGTTTGTTCCTTTGTTTGGGTTTTGTTTTCTGTTTGTTTGTAGGCAGGGTCTCACTGTGTAGTCCCAGCTGTCCTAGGGCATGGAGTGTAGACCAGGTTGGCTTCAAATTTCTCTCCGCCTCCTGAGTGTTGACACTGCAGGTGTGTGCCACCACAGGTGTGTGCCACCATATACAACAGAATCTTTTCTTTTGTGCTGCTAAGGGATGAAAAATCAGGCCTCGAGCATGCTGGGAATAAGGGGATTTGGAGCTTAGGTGCTGTTTTGTGTTTGCTTTCAGAGAGATTTAAACCTTCCCCATCAAGACCACAACCATGTGGGGGTTGGGAAAGTAGCTCAGATGAAGTGCTTGCCCAGCATGTATGAAGCCCTGGGTTCAATCCCCCAGTTCTGCAGATAACAGGTGCGGTGCCACAGGCCTGTGATCCCAGCACTTGGAAGGTGGAAGCGAGAGGTTCAAGGTCATATTCAGCTACGTGCTGAGTCTGAAAAACAAGGTCTCAAGACACTTTAAATTCAACCAGAGCTTACGCTTGCAAGAAAACGTACTTCCTCTCCATCCATAAACTTCTCAGCAGGAACCAGTGCTTAGCCCAGAAAATACGACAACAGCAAATATGCTTTGCTCAGAATATATGGACCATATATTCCTAGCAGGAGCTCCCCAGCAGGACAAAGAAGGGAGGGGGATTAAAGTTACACAATCCCTTGTGGCTGGGGTAGAGCTCGGCAAAGCACCTGCTTGGCATCTGCAGTGGCGTGGATTAGATCCCAGCACAGAGATATTCTTAAACGTCACCAGATAATAGATCCTAAAAGAGCCCCCTCGTTCCAAGGCTTGTGAGGTTTCAGAAGGGAAGAAGGTAGCACGAGGCATTAGGGTCTCAAAAAGTGCGTTTCTAAAGTCTGGTTTCTTAGGACGCTCCCTGAAAATGCCCAGACTGGGACCGGATAGGAAGAGATCTGTCACTCAACACTGAACTTCAGCAGCAAGGTTCAAATGGGTGTGGTATAAGAGAGAGTGAAAGGTTCACAGGTGACAGGTTAGGGGCGATGCCTGGAGGGGACATGGTTTTGGCAATCTCCATTCTGTAGTGTGTGTGTGTCTGTCTGTCTGTCTGTCTGGTTAGGAGCAATGCAAAAGTCGCTCTGTAGAGAGCAGAGGGCACCGGGCGAGTGTGAGGTTGTGTGCTTGCACTGTTCTGTTTCTAGAAGGCTGTCAGGTGCTTGGCCATTCAGACTGAAAAATAATTTTGATTTCTAACTACCACAACACTTTCTCATCAGCATGTATAAGAGCTTCCCATTGTGGCTATTACACCTCATCTTACACAGAACTGGGACAAAACTCCCCTAGCAAACCTGATTGTTCTCTGCATGTGGTTTTTATTGTTATTTTTGGCTTTTGTTTTTGAGACAGGGCCTCGGGTAACCCAGGGTGGCTTCAGACCGACTATGCAGTCGAGGATGACTCTGAACTTCGGAACCTCTTTGTCTCCACTTCCCAAGAGCTAGCATTGCAGGCACACCCCCACTGCACCTGACTTGCATTCTGCAATCATAGCAGTAGGGGTTGCCATCTCTAGTCTCCTCACTCTTTAGAAGGTTCATCCCTTGTGTGGCTTCAGAACAAGGGCCTGAGCTGGGCTCAGGGGTACTGCATCTGCAGAGCACACACGGAGTCCTCGGGTGCAGTCCCAGTACCAAAGGAAAGAGAAAAGAGCCGATGGCTACAGACTAAGCCTTTCAATGTGCAAAGGCAGGCATTTATCAAAGCTGGGAAGAGCAAGCCAAAGGCTGGAAGTGTGGCTCCGTGGTAAAGCGCTTCCCTAGCACGTACACAGCTCTGGAGGAGAGGGAGAGGTGGGTGCAGGAAATGCAGACACACAAGAGAGCTGTTCTCGTCCCCATAGTGGTCATAAGCACATAAAGGGTTTGTGGGTAAGGGGTTATGGAGCCTCAAGGGGACCGACGGACTAACTCTGAAGATACGATCGAGGGCTTTACCATGGCTAGAAGACGTGACGTCAGCAAAGAGCCATGATGGGCAGGGAACGCTGAGGAAAACCTTGGGCACAGATACGGAAAGGTGAATGGAAAGGAACGCACAGGTCGTGTACACCTGTGAGCACCTGAGGCACGTGGAAATCTGATGGGTTAGTCTAGAAGAGTCAAAGACGGCATCTGGTTGGCAGTGCCTATGGGATTAAGATTTTTCTAATGAAAACGTTCTCACCAAATCCAATGATGATTAACCCTTGAAGACTCAGCTTAAGGATAAGTGTCCACAGAGCTCTTGCAGCCTCAGAACAGCCCCAGACTAAGCCCCAGGGAGGTCACCACTATCTGAGTGGTACAGGCTGTGTGTCAACATGTCCACTTTCTTCTGGTTCCTTAGGAGGTGACTGAGTCTGCATGTGGCTTCTTAGAATATCACTTCTCAACTTCCTTTACTGTCACACAGGAAGTGGCAGCAGTGTTGCCTAGCAACAAGCCACAAAGCACACTGGGCAGCTAAGGAGCTCCTCCTCACTTTCTTTCTGCTAGTGTAGGCTATGCAAGTGGGAACCCCAGGTTAGTCCACCGTCTCCGCCACAGTTACCAAGATGGACATTAGGGACTCTGACACGGTGGAGCAGCCATACCTGGCTGACACACCTCTGGACTCCCATGTGGTACACAAGAATATCCCCTTGGGGCCCCTTTTCTCTTTCCTTAAACAAAGCCACATTTCTCTCTCTCTGCAGCTATTCCCACCCCAACGCCAGTCAGAAAGCTTTGGGAGGGTATTCATAAGTGCGTGAGGATGTAGCTCAATGGTAGAGCCCTTACCTAAATGTGCAAAGCTCTGGGGTTCAACCTCTAGCACCACACACACATACACACACACACCCCACATAATGCGGACAGTGATTACTGCAGATACCTTCAAAAACCACCCATGTTCCTTTCTCATCTAACATATTTTTGAAAAGTAAAAGGATAATCCTAGATTTTAAAGCTACATCACCCCTGGGAAAAGTTGGGCAGAGGAACTGGTTTTGTTTCTGAGATCTCACCATGCAGTCTAGGCTGGCCTCAAACCCATGATCCTCTTGTGTCCTCCATCCAGGTGCTAGGATTATAGGTAAGGGCCTCTAAGGTTCTCAAGTGGCTTTGATTGCATTTAAATGTTTTAATGTCACATTCAACATATGGCTCTAACACCAAAACTGGGAGAGGATAAAACTAACACATGGCCACACCCAATGTTCTTGTAAACACCAAATGGAAAATAAAAACCCAATGTTTAAAGAAAGCAGCTCCTTCCAGTTGAACCCTTTCTCAGCGAAGAGCAGTCTACGCCAGGCACGTCTGTCAACCAGTTCAGGACCCGATTTGTATTAAAACTTTCAAAGTAGTACTTGAATTATGACTGCAAAGTTTAAATCCCAGGGCTGAGGACGTAGCTGAGTGTCAAAGTGCTTGCTTACCATGCAAATGGCCCAGGGTTCAATTCCCAGCACCACAAAAACAAAAAAAAAGTTTGAATTCCAAGACAACTCAACTCTCAGCGAGACTCTGAGCTTTGGAAAATCCAGTTGGCTCAATTATCTTCAGGCCGATAATCCCAAGAATTGTGCAGGTCAACCACGACTGCAGAACCGTCGCTGCTTAGGGACACCGAGTCAGCAATGAGGGACCGCATCCTCTCTTCGTCAGTACACAAGTGCTGCAGCTTGGGATAAGCGAGCAGTCTCCTCAGGGGTATGAAAAACTTCTCTCCTTCACAGAAGGGCTGGGGAGTATTTTCTATCCTGGCCTTTTCAGCCTCTGTGAATACTGCTCCCAAGAGTAGGTGAGGGGCTGGGGAGCAGTCCGTGTGCCCCGGCTTAGGGCCCAGTTCCTTCTCCTGTTCCCTCAGCATCCGCTGGTACCTCAGTCTCAAGCGTTCCACTTGTATCAGGAGCTCCCCGACCAGCACAAACTTGAGCACCTTTTCCTGCTGTAAACTCGGGTAGGTGGTTGTATAAACCTAAGGGAAGAAAAACCAAACAGAATACCGAAGTGTGTTTAAACCATCAGCAATTCAGTAACAAGCTGTGCATTGTAAAAGCCTTAATCTCACTGGAAAGCAAACATATGTAGATACTAGGTATCTGCTTTGCTTCCAATTCTGATGACAACTAAATCTCAGCAGTGTTTCTACCAACAGGCACTAACCCAGTATTCCCCTTTTAAAAAAAAAAGATTTATTTTATTATTTGGTATGTATGAGTGTTTTGCTTGCATGTACGTCTATACAACATATGCATGTCTGGTGCTTACTGAAGCCAGAAGAGGGCATTAGACCTGATGGGACTGGAGTTAACAGAAGATGAAAGCCTAACCGAACCTACAATCCAATGTTTCTACTTGCTATTACATGGAAATTAGTGTAAAAAGAAACGCTGGTTCAATCTAGAATCAGTGGTACAAGCCTATAACCCCAGAGTTCCTTGAAAGACTAAGATAGCTGCTGGTCCAAGAGTTCAAGGCCAGTCTAGGCAACAAAGTGACACACAAGCTAAAGAAAACCAAGAATAAAAATGATTCTATCAAGAGAAGAATGGATTCTTTTGAAAGACGAAGTAGGTTTTGTCATTCATGTGTGCGCGTGCCTGTGTGTTATGTGTGTGTATGTATATATGCATACATCCGTGCATCATGGGCTGGAGAGGAACAGTTCCTGGCTGTCCCTTTACGGTTGCTAACACTGAGAGATTACAAAGGAGGCAGCAGCAGGAGTCCTCTCTGAAACATCCTAAGAAGACCTCCAGTAAATTGCTCTTTGTCGTGTAAAGCCAAGGGGCCAGGCAGTCTCAAAGGATGCCACAGACTGACCCTGACCCCGCCAGGACTCATGGAGCCTGAAGCATCTTTCTAGATGAGCCTCAAAATTAGGTCACTTGGCCAGGTGTGGTGGTGCACACCTTTGACCCCACACACTTGGGAGGTAGATGCAGGCAGATCTCTGTGTATTCAAGGCCAGCCTGGGCTACATAGGAAGTTCTAGGCCAGCCAGGGCTACACAGTGAGACCCTGTCAAGAAAAAAAGAAAGAGAAACAAATAAGCATGTCATTTATCCTGCTTTCTACTTCGGGGACTAGTGATATGGAAAAGGAGAAGCGGGGGAGGGGAGAGAAAGATGGAGGAGGGTTAGGTGTAAGGAGGAGGAGGAGGAAGGAGTGTGGTAATGTTGGTAATGGCGGCAGGGTGGTGGGTGGCAGCTGTAGTTGTAGCCCTGGTCTCACCACCCGTCATGTGACCTATGGACTTCTATTTCGCAGGAATACTCACAACTTTGTACACACGCCGGTCATGCTGCTGTGAAGCATGGGATTCAGCTAGCTTCCCGCTGTTCTTCCTAAAGACACCTATCTGGGTGCAATATCCGACATGCTCAGACCCAGCTGGGGGTGTCCCGACCCCAGTAAACTCCACACAATAATTGTAGCAGTTTGCCACCCGTGAAGCCCTGATATCAAACAACAAAGAGAAGTCACTTCTCTGCACATACAGTTCTGGTTAAACAACTTCGTAAACATTTTTCTTTTTCTTTTTTTTTTTTTTTTTTTTTTTTGGCTTTTCAAGACAGGGTTTCTCATGTAATAGCCCTGATTGTCCTAGAACTCACTCTGTAGACCAGTTTGTAGACCTCAAACTCAGAGATCCACCTGCCTCTGCCTCCTGAGTGCTGGGATTAAAGGCGTGCGCCACCACCGCCTGGTATCAATAGACAATTCTTAAGTGACTTCTTGTCAGCAGTTTTAGGAAAAACAGAAAATATATGAATCAAAGGACTTCTCAGCCAAGCAAGGAGGCGCATGCCTATCATGTTACTTGATAAGGCAGAAGGATAAGGAGATTAAAGCTAGCCTGAGCTATATAATGAGACATCATCACAAAGAAAAGATTCCAAAGTTAAGCATCCCTGCACAAGTGTATGATGGGTCACCAGGACACCCGATAACTGTGGGGAACAAAGGCAGTGATACGTCTTAGGTTTCCAAGTTACCTCAGGAAGAGGAAAGGGGGGCTACGGGACAGGCAGCATGCAGGTGTGGGTGAAGCCAAGAAGCCGCCCCACGCATGGGCGTGAGTGCCCCTCACACCCCACATCCTCCCCACTCTGGTTCTCAATCTACGCCAACACTACAGGTGCCTCCCAAAGAGCATCCACTAGGCACACGCTCTTTTCTCCTGCGGCCCAAATGGGCTGCTTTCCTTGTGATCCGGCTACATCATGAGCCACACGTGGAGACTTGCTGGAATAAACTAAGAGTTTGAGTAAGACAGACATAGCGCAGCTTACTTCCTATAACAGGATTGCTGCCAAACAACAACAAACAAAAGAACCCTTCTGAGCTCACCAGGTCTGGAACTCCTTTCTGCTCCACTCGAATTTATGATCTGCATCCCTCAGGGACACTGTGGGAAACAGGGGGTTGAATTCAGCATTTGGTGTGGTGATGACAACCATGGATGGCGACAGGTATCCAAAGACCACTTCGGGAAATTTGGCCAGGTCATCTGAATTCAAATGCTCTATTCTAAAATGGTTGATAAGAAAGACAGAATTAATGCGCTTCACTGGGTGTATTCTTCTAATTGACTTGGCAAAAATAATTCCTACCTGGATGTTGATTTATCCCTTCTCTGATGATGCAGCAGCCCACAACCCATGATCAACTGTTCTCATGTTTGAATCCTTCCCACTCCCAGCTTTGCCCAGGGTGATCCGTCAACTAAGATCCATCCTCCGGTGCCCTCTGTAGAACTCATGTCAACATTCCTTTTTAAAAAGTATCTGAACTTGTATATTCCTTGATTTAATTTCCCGAGAACACATCATTGCCTCTGTGATTTCTTTTCAAAAACGGCAGGACACTGCCAGACAGCTCGGCAATTATGAGCATTTGCTCCTCTCACAGGGTACCCAAGTGTGGTTTCCAGCACCCATGTCAGGTGACTCACAACCACCTGGAACTACAGCTCCAGGGGATCCAATACCCTCTGCTGGCCCCCAGGACACCTGGACTCACATGTGGATGTACGTGTGCAAGAGTGAGGACCTAAGTTCAGATCCCCTGTACTCAGAAAATCTGGCATGGGAACATACATCTTTAATCCCCAGTGCTGGGGAGGCAAAGATCAGAAAACCTTGGGCTTGTTGGCCAGCCAGTGTAGACAACCAGCAAGATCCAGGATCAATGAGAGACCCATCTCAAAAACACAAGGTGGTCAGGAATGGTGGCACATGCCTTTTATTCCCAGCACTCAGGAGCCAAAGGCAGGCAGATCTCTGAGTTCAAGATCAACCTGGTCTACAAGAGCTAGTTCCAGGATGGCCAGAACTACACAGAAAAGCCACATCTCAATAAATAAATAAATGAACGAATGAATGAACAAACAAATAAAGTACAAGGTGAGAGTAACTGGGGAAGACACAGGAAATCAAGTAGTCTCCAGCTCCCAGGCATTTGAGTACATACACCCACACACGTTCCCTGGGACAGCAGGTAGTTCAGAGCTGTAGCATCTGCTCAGCATGTATGAAGCACTTGATCAACACTCCATCCAGCCAAAATAAAAACATTCTCAAAATCTAACGCTGAAATGCTATGCTGAATCCAGATTAAGGGATGTTCTAGATAGCAAAAAGACTGAGCAACCCTGTTAGAGATGATTAATAGACACTCCAAGACATCATACTAAAATCCCCAGCTAGAGGTGGTGGCGCACACCTTTGATCCCAACACTCAAGCAGCAGAGGCAGAAGGAGCTCTGTGAGCTCCAGGACAGCCAGGGCTACAGAGAGAGATCCTGTCTCTATGTAGTACCAAAGTATAAAATAAAAAATAAAACAATGCCACATTTTAAGTGATAATTAGACTTGAAAATAGCTATAAAAGCTATCACTAGAACAACTGAGTTGTTAAGTGTTGTATATGGACTATATAACATGATCATATACCATACACATCATTGTAAGCCTGGGTTTTGTTTTGTTTTTTTAGGTTTTTCGAGACAAAGTTTCTCTGTGTAGTTCTGGCTGTCCTGGAACTCACTCTGTAGACCAGGCTGGCCTAGAACTCACAGAGATCCGCCTGCCTCTGCCTCCTGAGTGCTGGGATTAAAGACATGAACGACACCTGGCCATTGGGAGATTTCCTAACACAACATACTATGGCTACATAAGAGGAAGCACGCCATCTTAGTTTTTAATTTATTATTATTGTGTGTGTATGATGGGAGGACATGCATGTGCCATATGTGGAGACCAGAGTACAACACTGAAAACCAGTTCTCTCCTTCCACCTTTACATGAGTTCTGGAAACTGAACTCAGGTCTGTAGACTTACATCACCAAGTGACTTTTCCTGCTGAACCATCCCGTTGACCCAAAGCATTTCTTCTTAGAAACGATATTTAAGGGCCTGCGATATGGCTAACAGGCTAAAGGTGCTTGCCTCCAAGCCTGACAACATGAGTTCAGGAACACACACACACACAATTTAATAAAAGTTTTAGGAAAATATCTTCTTTTTTTTTTTTTTCTGGTTTTTTCGAGACAGGGTTTCTCTGTAGCTTTGGAGCCTGTCCTGGAACTAGCTCTTGTAGACCAGGCTGGTCTCGAACTCACAGAGATCCGCCTGCCTCTGCCTCCCGAGTGCTGGGATTAAAGGCGTGCGCCACCACCGCCCGGCTAGGAAAATATCTTTAACATATAGGTATTTATGAGTAAAAAAGGCCATGGTCTCCAATGTACTCAAGTGGATTGTATTAAAAATGCATACAGGAGACGACACCTAAAGGAAAAGTCTAAGTAAATGGAACCAAATGTAAAGAATTAGTGAGCCCGGTACTTTGTACCAGTACCAGTACCTTGTACCTAATCCCACAGCATCTCTAAGTCCGTAACTACAAGTGATAACAGAGATACAACAGGACTGGAGCTGGGGCTCAGCGGCAATGCCCTGCATCAGATCCCCAACACCTCAAACAATATGATTCATGGAAAGACTTGGTGGGAAGAGCAGCAGGTGGAGCAACATAATTATATTAATCTCAAAAGATAAGGATTATTTTTGAAGACATTACCAAATACTACTAAGTCTGGCATCACAGATTAACCCTAGCACAACAGAAGTATCACCACTCTTACCAACTGACAGACCATCCCAACAAAAGAAATACCTGAATTAAATGACTCATAGATCACAAGGACTTAACATACAATCTATAGAATATTCCATTCAAACACTGCAAAATACACATTCTTTCCAGAAGCCCATGGAACTTTCTCTAAAGTAGATCATGAGTTAGGACACCAAGCATGTCTTAAAGAGTACAGAAAAACTGAAATGATTCCCTGCGTCCTGTCTGATCGCAACACAGTAAGACTACGAATCACAGCAAGAGAAACCCTAAAGGGCACAAAGTCCTGATTTCGATCCTTAGCACCACATAAAACTGAGCATGGCACACACCTCTAATCCCAGCACTTGGGAGGATAGAGGCAGAAGGATGAGACATTCAAGATTATATACAGCAAGTATGAGACCATGCTGGGGCATGTTACACAGGGGCTGAGAGATGGCTCAGTGGTTAAGAGCACTGGCTGCTATTCCAGAGGACCAGAGTTTGATTCCCAGCATCTAGATGGTGGCTCACAACTGCAACTGTCTGTGATTCCAGTCCCAGGGAACCCAGTCCCTCCTCCATCCTCCTCACACTTACATGGCTGATTCCAGTCCCAGTGAATCCAGTCCCTCCTCCATCCTCACACTTACATGGCACAAAGACATACATTCAGGCAAACACTTATACACTTAAAAGTGAATTAAAGGGGGGCTGGAGAGATGGCTCAGAGGCTAAGAGCACTGGCTGCACTTCTAAAGGTCCTGAGTTCAATTCCCAGCAACCACATGGTGGCTCACAACCATCTGTAATGAGATATGGTGCCCTCTTCTGGCCTGCAGGGATATATGCAGGCAGGCCACTGTATACTTAATAAATAAATAAATAAATCTTTAAAAAAAAGTGAATTAAAATCTAAAAGCAAGATACATTATAAAAGAAGTACAAATGAATTTCTTTATTTTTATGCTTGTGAGTGTTCTGCTTGCAAACCATATACCCTCAGAGGTCAAAAGAGGAAGTTAGTGCCCATGGAATGGAGCCATGGATGGATGTTAGCTACCGTGTGGGTGCTAGGAACTGAACCCATATCCTATGCAAGAACAAGTGTTCTTAATCACTGAGACATCTCTCCAGACCCACAAATGAAATTTTTCAACAGGAGTAAAGGCCTATGTATATAATCTTTTAATTATTTCAGGGGGCAAAGCACCATGTGGAGGGAGAGGATGCATACGTATATGACAAGGACCAGAATAAAGCAGTCACAGGTGGCCGTATGGCGAGTATATGAATGTCTGTTTCTGGAATTATCTTCATTCTTGGAATTCCTAAGAAAATACTAACAGTAAAAAATACTCCCAGCTGATGAGTTGTGATCATTTTACAAATAATGACATTGATTACTAAGGCTAATTCCTTCACATTTTCCAAAGTGGAGAGCCGATGCAACTTCCAGACTTACAATTCAATGCATGTTATCAAATCGAATCCAAGCAGGCGAGAGTCTCTCTCCACAACAGAGCCATGATACAAGATGACAGTCAAATCTAGATCTCGGGGTTTTACAAACTCTCCCAGGTAGGGAGACAAGTAATGCCTGCAAGAGAACAATCATCAGTCAGCAGCATCAGGAAACAACCGACTTAGCAATCTGGGCTGGGGGTACGGCTCAGAGCAGAGCGTGCACCTAGCTGTATGAGGAGAGGCCCTGAGACTCAAGGTCCTGCTTTGGTGTGTGTGGACTTACAGCTGTGATTCCCAGCACCACAGAGGTAATAAGAGAAGGAGCTCTCAGAGCTGCAGAACCCAGATCCCCTGATGTGAGTCCCACTCCGCCTGTTTCTCTGGTACTGAACACTAGGCCATGGGGCAGCTTCCTTCCATGGCGGGAAGTGAGGTTACTAAACATGACTTTAAATTTCCCACACTGTCCTCATTGCCACACTTTGCCTCTCTTTGGAACAAAGACATTTCAGCTCTTTAGAAGAGCAGGTTCAAAACAATCTAGAAATCTATGTATCAGAGAAGCAGAACGGTGAATGTGGTGTGGAGGGACCAAGTGTAAGCTACAACCCTCCCTTGGAACTGTCGCGGCCATGAAACTCAACCCACCATTTAGGAGAAAGGCATTAAAGCCAGGCCTGGTGGCACACGCAAATTTAAGCCAAGGACACTTATGCTATATCATAATATCTTGTCTCAAAAAAAAAAAGGAAGAGTCCATCTCTTAGGTGAGAGCCCCCATGACCTAAGACTATATCCCACCTGGCGACAGTTCTACTACCACCCTGGGGACAAGCTTCCAACACAAGCACCTTTGGGAGATGAAACACATCCAAACCATAGCACTAGAAGTATTACCCATTTGAATGTAATTTTTCTTCATTGATATCTACCCCAACAAGCAGCTGAATGCATGGATAGATTTTTAGCAGCTTTAGGAGCTTGGTATCACCACATCCCAGGTCTGCAACCTATAGATGAGACACAGCATCATTTGCACAACATTCATAGCCAGAAAAGCAGGAGCTCTTAAAACTAGAGGATGCCCGGGAAAACGGTCCAGGTTAGCGAGTGCAAGAATAAGGACCGGAGTCCAGACCCCCGACACCCATATAAAGTCAGATGTGGGAGAATGTGTCCATAACCCTATTTATAACCTAGCCAAATCTGAGAGATCTGGGTTCTGTGAGAAACCTATCTCAAAAAAACACAAGGTAGGGAGTGACAGAGAAGACACCCATGTTGGCCTTTTTTGGGCCTCCACCCACATACGTGTGTGCATGTGCTCGTGCACGCACCTCAGTGGGAGACTGTGAATCAGGGAAAACATAAAGTTATTTTATGCAAGGATCTTTGGAGGTAGGATTGTATACACAAAAACCAAATTAAACTGAGACTTTTTATTCCTGCTGGCCCTTACGGGACTATCATAAAGGCTTTCCCAACTTGTGACTTTGGTCACCCCGTGGTTGAAAAAGAAAAAAAAAAAAACAACAACAACGGCTTAACTCTGAAACACGTGGAGCACTGGCCTTAAGGTCTCCTCGCTATTGCAATGATCTCTGCTTCGAAAGGCTGAGGCAGGGGGTGACTTGAGTATGAATTAGAAGCCAGACAAAGCAGCACAACAAAACCACAGAAAACCATCTTTTTTTCTTTTTGACCGTTCTCTACCTGTATTACAATGTACCATACTTCTATCCACCACCCCAAATCACTCAAGTCTGCCTCAGGCACGGGAGGTTGCTTAGCAGTAGAGTGCTTGTCCCGCATGTCAATGCTCCTGTCTGTAACCCTAAAACCGGGAGGAAGGGAGAAGTCTATCCTTATGAGCATATTTGATAAACCACTTTAATAGGGCAATCTTAGCAGTTAAAAAAAAAAGATAATTACCTTCTTGGGTTCATGGCGATCCACTAAATCTCTAACGAACTGGTACCGTTGTTTGTATAATGGCGGTTTAAACCTAATCACCCTCTCTGGACAAACCTCTTCAAAATTACCTCCAACCACACTGCTGCACTGAAAGATTGTAAACAAGTTCTCACGTATGACTTTAGATATTTAAGAAGAAAACAAAGAAAATTTCTTCTCCACAATTAACTGGGCAACAATAACCTCCACACAGCTTCAACCTCAAGTCATAGGGCAGCACCCCCTTCCCTCTCCTCCCCACCACACCCCCTCTTTTCAGCATGCTATAGCTGGGTTTATGCTTCCGTAGCTAATCTGCAGAGGTTGTTTTACTGTGTGAACTGCCAAAGACTGTGGTCCAGACAGACCAGAGGTGAGGAGACACTGGGCAGACCACAAACTCCCTCAGCTCCCAATCTTTGCTCAAACCTCTAAGGCCCCTTCTCTACCAGGCTTTGATTCAGGGTCTGAATCCCGGGCTGTGGAGGGCATAGGCCAGTTTTAGCAAGAACTGTTGAACTCAGTTTAAGGTGAATTTCCCACTCTTGACACCTGAGCACCCTCACCATCTAAAGCTCGGATTCTAGATGGTATTTCCTCTTAATTTTCTAGGCACATACCCTCTTCCCATCCCCTCTTCCTTTTACACGTCTCTATCTATATAGGTTTCTCCATCCTCAGCTGAGTTAAACCCTACTGCGATGATTTTACTACCACAGTCCTAAATCAGAATAGCCTTTTTTAGCAGGTCCAGGAGAAAAAGAAATGTTAGCTGTGCTTACTATTCCTATCAGTGCTGGAAAGAAGTAAACCTGTACCTAGAGCAATGATATCCAATGATTTCCAATAAACGCAAAGTCAAGTGTGGCTGGGATTTAGATTAGTGGTGACCACCTGTCTTGCATGAGCGAGGCCCTGGCTTCCATCCCCAGCAATACAACAAAACCTACCCCACACATGCCACCAAGCCCCTGCCCACTAGCTCTCACTCTCTCTCTGAACCCCAGATTTCACACTTGTTAGTGCTAACATTAATCAATGGAAGGTTTGGTGCCTTCCTCAAGTGCCCAAATGCTGCACAGCAGGGATGTTCAGCTTAGGTCTCCAAGTGTGGTCCCTAAACCAGTATAGCATCTTCCTGGAAACTCAGAGAATGCCAAGTCTCAGGCCTCAACAGACCTCCTCAGATAGAAGACTCTACACTTTAAACAACCCAGGGAAAGAAAAGGAAAATAGAATCTCCAGGGTGACCCATTTGCATGTCTAGAGGTATTTTTTAATAACTAACATCTGTATTTTTACTTAATATACATCAAATGTGAAATTTTCACTGATCATTGATGTCAATCTTTTTTAGTTCACACCTCAGGGGAAGCAGGGGCCTAAGTAGGATAATTTGTCATTTCTCCACAGTACACCCCTCCGACACCGCTGTAGGTGAGTGAGAAGGGTGACATTTACCGGTATGTTCTTTTCTGCCACTTCCATTTTGTTTCCAACTTCCGTTGCGACAAAAATAATAATAGTGATAATGCAGATTTATCCTCCGGGCTCTGTATTTACAGCAACTCAGCTGTAAATGCCAAATGCTCCCTTTTCACACGAGACGCCTAGAAGAAATGATGGCCCAGATGAAAAGGGGTAGGTGTTGGCCTTCCCACCTACCACTGGCCCACAGAATTCAGGCAGTAAATACTGAGACACTGACAATAGGGTCTCAAAGTTCCAGCTCGGCAAAGCGCTGCTCCTCTTGTTTGACCATAACCAGTTCCGGGTGATACAAACTTATTGCTAAGATCCTCGACCTCGGGGGATAGAGGCTCATCAGTTGGTAGAATGCATACCTAGCATGCATGAAGTATATCCGATCCCCAACACCGCATAAAACCAGACCCGGGGGCACAAAGAAGTTCAACGTCAACCTCGAATTCTCAACCTCAAGCAAATACTGCTTTCAGTAACTTCTCAGGCACCGCCAAATAAAACTTGGGGGGGGGGGGGGGAGGGCTGACATTAACAAGCCAGTGATGCTGCAACACTGACCCAATCCGGCCTCGGACTTGAATGTTGGTATTCTACTACACACGTTTCTATCACTTAGTCGGAAGTAGGCAAGATCTCAACCACCAGCTGTTGGGTACGAACCTCAGTTGGGGGTGTGGGCGTCAGTGTTCCCTCTGTCGCCCGCGTCCACCCGCAGCATCACTCACCCAGGGACGAGGAGCGAATCCACCCTTGAAAAGCCCGCTAGGCAGACCAAGCACCGCCCACTCCCGTGTAGCTGCGGCCCCGCCCCTGCCTTCCGCGCAGCCGCGCTGCTCCACGCCGGCTCTCCGCACCTGGCTGGCCGCACCTTTCCGCCCTGGCGCCGCGCGCCTGCGCTCTCCGCCCTCAGGGTCCCCGCTGGGCGTGCGGAGCCCGGCCACGCTCGGGCCCCATGCCTCCGGGCTGCCGACTCCACGGCGTCGGTTTTGGGTCACTTAACGGCCGCTGTGGCGCATGCCCCGAAGACATTTTCCAGCTCGTCCGAACCTTGGCGACCACGGCTCTCAGCCCCTCCGCATCCCACGCCCTCGCGCTGCGGCGACCTGGCCCCTACCACGACTGTTGGGTGCGGCCCAGATGGGCGGGCGAGCGGCCGGGCTGCTGCGGCCTTGCCGGCTGTTAGGATCGAGGCGCCCCGGCTGCGAGGCTCCTCGTGCCCGGTAGAGACGTGGAGAACGCCCCGGGCCAATGGCAGGCCACGGAAGAGGCGGGTGGGCTCAGCGCGAGCCGGCTGGCCCGGAGCAATTATGGCGCGAGGGCCTGTAAACTGGGGAAAGTTGAGTCCCAGTCACCTAAGCCTTTTTGTTCTTTTTCTTTTTTTTTTTTTCTTTTGAGCTCTACATTTTTTTCCTGCCTCTCCTCTCCTCCCATCAACCCTCCCCCAAGGTCCCTATGCTCCCAATTTACTCAGAAGATCTTGTCTTTTTCTACTTTCTGCTTCCCATGTAGATTAGATCTCTGTAAGCCTCTCTTAGTGTCCTCATTGCTGTCTAAATTCTCTGGGATTGTGGTTCACGAACCCCACATCAGACAGAGGTCTGATCTCCAAAATATACAAAGAACTCAAGAAATTGGTCACCAAAAGAATACATAATCCAATTTTTAAAAAATGGAGTACAGACCTAAACACCTAAGCTCTTATATTCTTTCAGCTTCCAACGCTCAACTTTTTTTTTTTTTTAAACCACGTACACTTTAAGAATTACCTGGTCTCAGAAAACGTGTTATGGCCTCTTTTCCGTCAACTTTACGCACGCTCTATGCTATCAAAGAAGAGATGAGAAGAGGGCGGGGTGGGGAGGACCGGCTTTAAAAGTAAAAACTGAGGCAGGTGTGAAGGCACATTGCTGTAATCCCAGCACCTCAAGTGGAAGGTGGTGTCAGAATCAGGAATTCAAAATCATCATCAACAACATTGTTGGAAGCCAGCCTGGGCAGCATGAGACCCTTGTCTCAAATTCATTTATTAATTTATCTCAAAGTTTGTGTTGACTAGTCAATAGCCTACTAATATATCATAAATGAGCTGAACATGATAGTGCCATGCCCGTGGTACCAGCACTTGGAGATAAGGATCAAAAATTCAAGAGCAGCTTCAGGTACTAACGAAAAGCCACATATGAAATATTAACCATTCAAACGCTCACTGAGTGCGCGATGCAATATTGTAATGTTGATGGTTACAGGGTAGCACAAAGATAAATTACATCTTGTTTTCAGCATTTTAGAGCTTAGAGTGTATGGAGAAAAAATATGTGTGAACCGGGCTTCTTAGATAGGATTGCGTGGCATTACAGTTTGAGAGACTCCTGGAGGCTTGGCACACGCGCAGTTCAAACAGGTGACCTCAGCACTAGGGAGGTGTGCTGGTAAGTGGTGTCACCTTGACACGGTCTAGAACCCCAGAGCGTGCCCTTGGTGGGGGATTGCTGTGATTCCCTCGGTTGGGATGGAAAGGCTTGACCACTGCAGGTGGAGGTATTCCTTCCTGTCTTCAACTGGATGAAAGGGCAGCTGAGGCAACAATTCATTCCTCAAACTCCTGCTCCTGGGACTTCCCCAAGGGATGGGGGTGGGGAGAAGGGCTGGAACCCGGAATTTGGGGCGAAAATAATCCCTTCCTTCCCTGCTTGAATGGCTTTTGTCAGGGTATTTTATCTGTGAGACAGCAACAGTGAGGCTCACTGAGGAAAAATTAGTTCTTTCTGGGCAAAAGAATTAAATCTCTGACCTAGGTGAGCACCTAACATTCCGTTTGGTCTGGCCCAGGAAAAGACCACCCCTCCAGAAGTGTCTTCCCTCAAGGGCTCCTGTATTGAAGGACCGGATCCAGCTGGTGTCACTATTGAGAAGTAACTGGCTGAGGGTGGCGGGGTTGTTAATGACCCATTGATGAATTTATGTCTTAATTAGCTGAATGGCTAAGAGGTGGTGAAATTACCTGTCATGGATGAGAAGGAACACGCAACAAACCAGCTTAGGAGTTTATTAGAGGGGGTGTGCACAGGCCTGGGGAAGTCAGTGTGCAGAGAGAGAGAGGGAGGGAGGGACGGAGGGACAGAGGGACAGAGGGAGAGAGGGAGAGAGGAAGATGGCGCATCCAGCTTTTAAAAGCTGCCTAGCGCATGCGCACAGGGGGTTGACATGGCTATGTCATAGGCAGATGACTGAGGGGGGCTCTCACATGCACGCAAGGGCTTAGCTGAGTCATATGTTGATCACATGGGGCCCTTTAACATCCTAGGAGGGTGCCCATTATGCACTTCTGCCTGAGGGCTTGTCTGCACATGCATGGCCCCTAGAACCCTTATATGGCTGAAATCATTACAGGAGGGTCCTAACTGGGAGAAGTCATTCCCTGAAAGTGCGCCTCTTCCTCCCTGCTTTCTGGCTTCCACGGGGTCACCATGGAAGCTGACCTTTACTACATGGTCCGATTATTATAGCATTCTACCTTACTGAAAAGTTTTTGTGTAACACCCGATTCTGTGTTACCCCCTCGGTACAGTTTGCACGCCACTGTACCTTAGGCGAACCGGGCAAGGGCCTGGAGATTGAAAGAACACACAAAGAGACCTGGGTCATTCAAAAGGAGATCAGCCAAATGCCAAATGCCGTTTATTCAACCTTGGGGAGATCCTCATATATCTATGTTGCGTTAGGAGCAGCTGGGCTGCGTTCCCTGGCACCCGGCCGCCCACATGGCTAGCTCTAGCTTATGCCCCAAAATAATTACACGGAAACTGTATTCTTTTAAACACTGCTTGGCCCATTATATCTAGCCTTTTCTCGGCTAACTCTCGCACCTGGACTAGCCCATTTCTTATAATCTGTGTAGCCCACGAGGTGGCTTACCAGGAATGATCTTAACCTGTGTCTGCCTGGAGTGGGAGAATCATGGCGACTCCTGACTCAGCTTCTTTCTCCCAGCCTTCTGTTCTGTTTACTCCTCCCACCTATGTTTTAACCTATGAGGGCCAAGCAGTTTCTTTATTGCTTAACCAATGAAATCAAAAGATTGATATATGACACTCCCACATCATACCTAGCTGCTGCACAAGGATTTCTGCCCGGGCAGGTGGGAAATTACCACACCAAAGATGGAGTCAACAATGCCTTACAGCTAATCACCAGGCGGGGCAGAAGGAGCACAGGAACAAACAGAATGCTTTAGCTGGCTGACCAGAAACTGTCCTCAAGATGAACCCCAAGAACAAGGGTAGACCCGGGGCCCTACATTTTTGCACCCCCATAAGCCTCTCCACTGATGAGATAATCCGAATCAGACCCAATCAAACCGAATTAGGAAAAAACCCAGGTGCTCCCAGGTGGCATTCCAGGCCCTCAGAGAGGACGTGGATGTGAAAGACCAGGAAACCACATGTTTGTTGTCTTGGTTGCTGTTTAAATATCCTGTGGGAGTGGTCTTGAGCATCTCCGAGAAGGGGGTCATCATTTGGCTGGCTTTCTCGGGGGTAGAGTCTGGACTGAGACAACTTCCAGGGGAGGGGACTTGGGATGGAACTTTACACCCAAACATCCCCAGACTCTCTGGGTATAGGGGCGCCAGGGGCTGGGGTGACACTTCCAACCAAACACTTACCTCAGTCACAAAGTCTGGGGCCATCAGAACTTGGACTGAAACCTCTGAAAGCATAAACCTAGATTCCTATTTTGAGATATTTCATCTCTGGTTTGTTTTTTTTTTTCCACAGCAGACGGATCTAGAATTTTTGCTAATTTATGGATGTAAATTCCTCATTTGCCTATGTTATCCTCTCCTGGACTTCTACAAGGCTCTGAGCTCGGTCCCCAAGCCTGAAAATTATCCTTGCTTCTGTTTGCTCTGCCCTTCCCAAATTTGAACCACCACCAGACTCCAGACTTCAAGCTGTGAGCTGCATCTGTTCCTTTCTACAGCCAAAGCCTTAGTATAGACTTCGTTTGACTGTAGCCTCTGTCAACATAACTCACCTTCCTCGGCATAGTGTAAGTCCCACTGAGATGCAGACGGTGTTGAATTTGATGTTCAATAATTTAACCTCAAGTACTGAGTTTACTTTTGCTCCCTAAACTTTCAAAAATGTCTTCTGAAAAAAAACAAGAATAAACTGCTCGGTGGTGGCACAACACTTTAATCCCAGCACGGGAAGGCAAAGGCAGGCAGATCTGTGAGTTCCAGGCCAGCCTGCTCTTCAGAGTGAGTTCCAGAACAGCCAGGGATACCCAGAGAAACCTCATCTTAAAAAAAAAAAAAAAAAAAAAAACTAAGATTATCTATTTCACAAATAGCTTTATTGAACAAGTAATGGATCAAATTCTGTTTTGAGTGAGAAAAAAACAGTCCTCTTGTAGCATTGTAGACCAACCAGTGTGTAAAGGCATCTAACATGCAATAGGAAATCAAGTTACTTGGGAGACTGAGGCAGGTAAATCACTAGAGCCCTGGATTTGGGAGTTCAAGACTAGCCTGGACCACCCTGTCTCAAATTTTAAAAATAAAATAAAGGTTATCCTGGATGCTAACGTAAATATGGTGCTCATAACAAAATGAGGCATGTGGTAGTCTTGAGAGAATGATTTTATTATTGCATATAAGAAAAGCCGTAAATAGTGCATAGATAAAAAGAAAACTGACAGGTTAAAATTCCCACATTCTTCAACCCTTCTATTGAGGAATGTGCTCTATTTCATGTCCTTTGGAAGTTATATGCATTTTATTGGATGAATTTCTTTGTTTTGGAGACAGGGTTTCAGTGTGTTGCCAGTCTTGCCCAGGCTACCGCAAGTTCCTGATCCTCCTGCTTCTGCCTCCTGAGACACTGGATCTCCATCTGGAAACTCCCACATCAGACCTGGGTCTTGTGAGTTCCTCAGTGACTAGTGTACCCATAGTGCTACTTTCTAGACCCAGCATGGAAGGAACTGGCAGCTTACCCTCCTGTCTCTAGAATGCTCAGTCTTAAAACCAGGCATGACCTGTGCAAGAACCCATGGGAAGACACCTGGGGGAAACTGAGTCACCGTCCTCCCACACCTCACAACTGTCATCCAGACATCCTGGGAATAAATCTTCTAGACTCAGTCTGCTTTGCCTACCTCCTTGCAGACCGTTAGAGCCTCTTTGTCCATGTGCACAGAAAGTTGATAGTGACTGATAGTTTACCTTCCAACAAAAAGACATTCGACCAGTGTCGACTTGATTGGGCTAAGAAATACCGAGGGCGCTGAGGATTTGCCTCCAT